TACACAATCAGAAAACATCTTCTGGCATTAATCTGGATAATCTAGAAGGCTTTCTGAGACATGAAGAGAAAATTGTATGGCAGACATGAGGGGTGGTAAGAACAGCAGTGACATCGGCCCTCAGACGCGCCCCATGCCCTGGGATCCACCTTCTCTGGTGTATGATGGAGTGACCAAGATCAAAAACTGCAGAAAAAACATATCTACCTTAAAGCAGAACTAAAAACAATAGATATACCTTTTTTTTTAATCAGAGTTGAAAGATTAAGACATAAAACACAGGGTCAGGTTCAAATACACATAAAAACACAAATACGGTACATATAGATGGCTGCAAAGTAATCTAAAGTTGATCATTTAAATTCCAAGACAAAAGTTAGCTACTCGCTAAAAACATAAAAAAAAAAAAAATAAAAATGCACTTTATCAAAACCATGTATATTCTTTTGCACTTGAGAATTATAAAAAGGGGGAATAGAAGGAGATGGTCCTAATAAAACAGAAACATACGCCCCAGTCAGAAGAAAGAAGCAAAGCTATTTAAGATCCTTAAAAGGACATAGTCAATCCCCCAGGCCTAAAATGTCCTGTTTGAATTAACATAGTGGTTTAATTAAAAACTAAGTAGAAAATTCTGTTTAATTTGATTTTCAATTCAAGCTCTGCATCCGCCCATGGCCAGTGGCCAATTTCCGCCTCTCGGCACAATATACAAGGAGCTATTCCAGCCAGGACTGCCCAGGGGAATCCCTGGGAGTGTACAGGGGCCACATGCCGTTTAGGGAATACACGAGACTTAGACATAGTAAAACACCACCAGGAGGGGGGCCACAGGAAAAAAAGGAAATTTAACTTGAACATATTACAAGTTTGTCATTACTCAATCACTGTCCTGAACCAATTAAAAATGTTTCTAACCTCTCTTCAACATCACTTCAGAAATGAGATGTGGAAATGTAACCAATGAGCAAATATTTTTAAAGGAAGATATATAAATATATATATGCTAGTTAGCCAAGTATGTTAAACATTTTAAGACCATGGTCAGTAAGAACATTACCTTCAACAAAGTAACAAAGTTAATAACTCTAATATAATCTATAGAACTGTGTAAAGAACTAAATATCTCAAGAAATATTACTTAGAACCTACACAAATAAATACCAAGTGATCCCAGATTACAGAAAGGCATGGCACTGAAAGACTAAAATATATACTTTGAACATTTATACTTAACTATGCAATGCTACTCAACTATAATTGATGTTAAAACTGATTAGCTTAATTTTAAAAGCTTTCTAGCCATTTCCACTAGGGTCTAGAATGCACTTCATCTTCAGGCAGGTTTGTTTAGAAGTATGCTACCTTTAATGCTTAAATTGAGCATTACAAAATGGTATATGCCACTTCAAACTGGTAAAAGAAATTTGAAATTTGAAAACTGCCTGAAATGGTATGTGAGTAATTAAAAGCTAACTGTGCTGTCCTCGGTTGTTTCCTGACTCGCACGTAACACTGACATTTCCCACAGTACAAGTGTTACTCAAGTGCATTCACAGACTTCCTCAAGGCAGAGGAGGAAGAGGACGTCCCCTGTAAACAACAGGCAGAGTGAGGTCCTGGACTGTGTGCTTCACATCAATCACCCCATCTCATTCTCTCATCAGAATATTACAAGAAGGGATGTGTTGCTACTATACCCATTTTTCAGAGAGAAAGAGCTCTGAGCTTTAGATGAGGTACTGCCGAGGCAGTCTGACTCTAAAGTCAGATTTTCTTACATCTGTACCTTCAAACTCTCTTCCCCTGGTCCCTTCTCTTCAGCATACCAGTATAGTCAGATCCTCCTACTTTAAAGTATTTTACCTCCTCTGCCCTCTAGCTATAACCCCATCACTTTCTTTCAATGGCATTTGGCCAGTATGGTGGCTCCCACCTGTAATCCTAACACTTTGGGAGGCCAAGACAAGAGGATCCCTTGAGCCCAGGAGTTCAAGGCTGCAGTGATGGCGCCTCAGAACACTCAATGAGCTCCACCCAAGGCAGCACGGTGAAATCCTATATCTAAAAATAAAGATTTTTTAAAATAAATAAAATAATAATCTATTTAATAACTGGAGTTTCGTGAAAAGTATAAATGAGGCAGATACTTCTATAATATCAAATATGAACATATATTTAACACAGCCTTACCACTTGTTTTCGTATTTGGTAATATCACACAGGAGGCAAGCAAGCATCGACCTGTCATTTTTAGCAACATATGCTGAAACCTGTTTAACAGAGCACGGCAGGTGCACGGCTGACTCAGTGAGGTGACATGACTACAGAACAGTGTCTCCTTGTGTGGAGCGTGTACTCCTTTCCCTAGGGATGCATAGAGATGCTAAAATGCAGATTTGTATCTAAATACACTTAAATGAAATGGTAGATGCAAAAATTCTTTCCAGAAATTCCCTTGCCAGCTCCCTGCTGTCTGCAACACACAATCCAAACTCCTTCACAGAGGACTTGAGGCCTCCAGAGTTTGATGCTGATGAGCACATGTGCACCCTGGCCTCTCACCCTTCTCCAGCATATACACACCTAAGGCCCAGCCAGCCTCTCAGCTCTGTGCTCTGGCCTAGAACACCACACTCTAGCAAACTCTGGCTCATCTTTCAAGTCCTAGTCCAAGTCTGAGCCAACTTCTTGTGAAGCCTGCCCAGTTCCTTGGGCAGGTCAAGACATCTATCCTTTCAGTTTTCCCACCACACTTCATCACATCAGAGTTCATTAAACTAAATCTTTTGTTTGTTTATATCTCTCATCAGTCCCACTGTCCATCTTTGGAAGGTAGGAGTTCCATCTTTTTACCTGTGTTCCCAACAAGCTCCTATGAATCACTTAAACTCGCCTGAATCAATGACGACCCATTAAAAGTTTTGGCTAGGCTCGGCGCCTGTAGCTCAACCGGCTAAGGCGCCAGCCACGTACACCTAAGGTGGCGGGTTCGAATCCCCAGCCCGGACCCGCCAAACAACAATGACGGCTGCAACCAAGAAATAGCCGGGCGTTGTGGCGGGCGCCTGTGGTCCCAGCTACTTGGGAGGCAGAGGCAGGAGACTCGCTTGAGCCCAGGAGTTGGAGGTTGCTGTGAGCTGTAATGCCAGGGCACTCTACCCAGGGGGACAGCTTGAGGCTCTGTCTCAAAAAAAAAAAAAAAAAAAAAAAAAAAAAAAAAAAAAGTTTTGGCTACAAAATTCTACAGAGATCCCTTTCTCAAGCGTCTCCATTGACTTCCCTTTTTTTCATGGTTTATTCTTTACAGCCCCTTATTCACTCTGAATATTACATATTGCATTCACCTAAAAATCCTCTGTCCTATGGCTTCTAGGAGATCACTCTCCTTTTTTTTTTTTTCATACTACCTGACACCACCTGCTCAAAATTCTTCCTTGCTCCTTTCCTCTGACAGCGTTCCATGGCCTTTTGGTCTTCTCTTTCCTCATTTTGTCCCTCACCATACGCTTCATTTGTGCTTTCCATAGCGTTGGTAAGTGAAGGACACTGACATTTTGGAAGGCTAGAAGCAACTCTGGGTGTCTGTTCTAGTTCTGCTATTTCATGTATGTGGTTCTTAGATAATTTGATAACATTTAGTATCTTGGATCTTAGTTTCCTCCTTGTACAAAAAGTTTGAACTAAATCCCTTTTAGCAATAGCACACTGAAACTATATAATTCTTTCACATTACACAGATTACTTAGTTTTAATTGCCAGTCTTAAGAATACATCATGATAAAAAGCAATTCCAACAAATAAAAGCCAATTTTTTTCAATGTACGGTTTGACTGCCAAATATAATCATTAATTCTGACCTTGGTACACTTACTAAATGTGAAATCAGCTGTTAGTTTTCAGCTGCAGACTTTTAAGTATGGAATAACAGCTAGAAAATAGGAAGGTGAGCCCAGGAAACTACACATTAACAATAATTCCTCAGTGATTCCCCCACTGCATTATACAGATTTTAAATGCATGACAACTGTGATTTAAAATCAGAAGAACTATTAAAGTGTTAAGCAATGTCATTCCTAAGATCCTATACAAAGGAAAATAAAAGTAATGATAATTCATATAGTTTACAACTTCCCATGCCAAATTTATTTAACTGGCATTATAGGATTATTCAATCTTAAGATAAAAAAGCACTCCATACATTATAAAATCAGCAGAACTAAAAGTTTAAAAGGTGTAACGTGTCTAATCCATAACATTAGAACTCACTCAAAATGACTCAAAACTACTTAAGTCACTGCATTACATTTCAAAAATTTATGGCAAAAAGCTGCAAGGGCTAGAAAGAAACTTTGCTTTTTAACTTTAAAATGCCACCTTTGAATAGATTGTTGTTATCACTTGTGAAATCCTGACTTATTCTGTAAGATGCTCTTGCCAGGTCTCCCAGTTCGACCACTTCTACACCTTCCACATTCACACAAAATCAGCTACTATCAGCCTGTTGGGAATTTGACTCTAATGTTTGATTTTTTTTCTTTTTTTGCAGTTTATAGTTTCAGTTTTTTGGCCCACTCCTTGAGCCACAAGTGCCACCCTCTAATGTTTGATTTTTTAACATGCTAATAGCCTGAAAATATTGGATATGAAATAACTTTTATATCAAGATATAGTCTAAGATTTTTATTATTCCATGTCATGCTTTACACTACATGAGAAACCCCTAAGAAAAGAACAATGTCCATTATACCATGTTTATTTATTCCACAAAAGAATACCCCACAAAGTTATGTGTATTATAAAAGTTTTCTTAAGTATTAAAAGATGACTACCCCATGAATAAGCACAATAATTCAGTGTGTTACCATTGTATTATTAATATTTGTATTTAGTAACTAAACTTTTTATTCAAGTGGTTTTGCTCTATCTTTTCTAGTTCAACATGAATGATACCTAGTTCCTCATTTAACAAATTAAATTCCAAAACTAGATTCATTTACCTTTTTCAAGCCAGCAAAACCTTCTGATTCCAGAAAGAAAAAGGCAAAAGGCATCAACACAAATAAACAAAGGTTGGAAAAAAGAGAAGCAAGATTCCATAAACCTATGAAGAAGAGAAGAGAACAGGTTAGATATTGACAGGCCTTTACAACGTCCATTAAATGGTACTATCCATCAAGATCTATACTTTTTAATAGTAAAAACAAACACAAATTTGGAATAACAAATGACCTACTTAGAAATCAAAAAATAATTACAATATATATTTACTTAAAATTTTTTAAACTTTGAAACATTACCTTACTTAGGAAAAGCTAACATAGAAAAATAATGACTTTTTCCTCATGCCCTAAAATAAAGACACAACATATGCAGAAATCCAAAGATACAGTCTCTTTAGACATATAGGTACCAGAATATTTAAATCATTGCCACCAGCACTGATTAAACACTTAATAAATGCCAGATACTCTACTAAACATTTTACATGCATAATCATAATCCCCCTTCAATTTAAGCCTCATAAAAACCCTAAAAATAATAAGTAGCATTTATTGAGCCTTTATGTGGCAAGCATTATTCCATGGGATTTACAGATATGATATATACCCATTTACTCATCACAGCACCCACAGGAGGCAGGGAACATGATGGCCCATATGGCAGATGCATAGACTGGCTACCACCTCCCAAGGTTCTGACTCTAATTCCCGAGATTTTAACAAACCACATCACAGAAGTTCGATTCCAAGAGGGAAAGAGAAAGTACCAGGCAGACACGCTTACATGGCCTTTTACCCACTCGGCACATGTTGCACTCTTTTATACAACTACAGTAAATGGCAACTCAGATAACAAGAACAAATTAGCTAAAAGTTAGAGGCCTTAAGGTGGGTCATTAGGAGGGTATCTGGCCCAACAGTTCACATTTTTTTAGAGGTAAAATATTAAAACTATTTCAAAATGGTTAATTATAATCTTTGCAAAAGTTTATAAAAGAGTCAATGATAAAAAATTATGCTAAGCATAAATTCAATGTAATGCATACAATAATAATTCCACATTTTTGAAAATGAGCAACTCATGTTGCAACACCTTTACTGCAGGCCGTGTTAACAGCACTGGAAATACTCTGCCTGCGTCTATACTCACACTGCACACACGCAGAGACCGCCTGAGCTCTCATGAACAGAGTGAGAGAACGGAAGCTACTCTCCAGATATTGGAGAATAACCTCCAAATATTGTGGTCGCACATTAACATATGTGTTTCATAACTGCCCTAATTCTCTTTGAAACAGCATAGAATATAAACAAAAGGAATTCAGCACCTGTACAGATCAGTGAGAAAGATTCATTTCCTTTAGTAGAGAAGGCAATGTAGTTAATACATTCAGTTTCTTATTCAAAAATCTACATAGCTTTAACAAATTGATAATACATATTTATCTTTGCAAGAAATAAAATGTTTCACAAAATTTTTTAGCTACCTTAACATATTTTAGTAGAAAAACTGCAATTTGAGCTATGTAAAATAAAAGTTATTTTAAAATACTTCTATACTTTCTAGGCTTTAAAAAAAGCTAAACATTTTAACCCTTTCCTTTATTCAAAAAAGTTATAATTACAATCAATTATATTACTGTTCCAGTAAGGGAAGGGCACACAGAATGACGGTTAAATGCACACACTCAAGTTGCGGATAAACTCAGGTTCCGGTCTTATCTGCACCTTTAAGGTGACAATCTTGCTAAGACACAAGTTCCTCATCTATGAAGCTAATGATGTGTCTCTGTATATCTGCCAAGTATAAAATGAAATAATAAATATGTAACATTTGGCACAATGCCTGCCATAAAATAAATGATTTTTTTGTTTTTATTAACAGTTGTTTCACCAGAAGCTACACAGCGCTACCAGCTCCTATATCAATCACACCCCCATTCTCTCTGACACTCCAGGCTCACTTTCGTCTCATTATCTGCTAGGTGTCTCAGTTCTTACTTTCGTTGCTAACAATTTACATGTATCCAAAAATAATCTTTCTGTCCTCCAAGAAGCTATGGGTACAGAAATTATACACACAAATTTTTCAGAATTATATCTAAAGTAAGAATAAATAGTCCTGGATCAAAGCTGTGCCCGTCAGGTCCAGTTCACAAACTACAGTGTGTAGCCTTTGGCCTCTGTTTTAACTACTCCAGAGAATTTGATCTTCCAAGTAACTCACTTTGAGATATGTGAGGTTTAACAATAATTAGTATTATGTAAATTACATGATAAAGTATTATTCTTTACTAGACTAGAGACATTCTTTACTAGACATGCTTTGTTTTGGCATGGTGAAAAAAAGAGAAATGCAAGTTTTAAATTGTTTGTGTTATAAAAGATAAAGGTCAATGTGTTAAGGATTATACTCCACTGACATAAGACAGTTTTAACTGAACTACATATCGCACAGTCCTTTCAAAAAACTATAAAAAATATCATCTACTCCAGGCATAACTAGTTCTATTATGCTTTGCTTTCCTGCACCTCCCAGACAGTGTGTTTTTACATATGAAGGTCTGTGCAGCTCTGCCTCGAGGAGGTCTGTCTGGGCATCTTCCAGGCAGCACATCCTCATTCACGCCTCTGAGTCTTACATAATTTTCACGGTATTTCCAACATTTGCAGTGTTAATGTATCTGTTATAGTGATGTAGGATGACTGATTTTTTGTTACTATTTGAATTGTTTTTGGGTGCCACAAGTCACAGCCATAAAAACAGCAAATTTAATCAATAAACACTGGGTGTTCTGACTGCTCCACTGACCAACTGCTGCATCTTTCTCCATCTTGCTCCCTCTCTTGGGCATCTCTATTCCCTGACACAAGAACACTGAAATTAAGCTAATTAATAATTCTATAGCGGCCTTAGAGGTGTTCAAGTGAAAGGAAGAATCACACGTCTCTCGCTTTAAATCAAAAGCTAGAAATGGTTAACCTTAGTGAGAAAGGCTTGTCAAAAGCTGAGGGGAGCCAAAAGCGAGGCCTCTTGCACAAAGTCAGCCAAGTTGTGAATGCAAAGAGAAAGTTCTTGAAGGACATTAAAAGTGCTCCTCCAGTGAACACACCAGTGCTAGGAAAGCAAAGCAGTCTTACTGCTGATAGAGAGCTGTTTAGTGCTCTATAGATTAAATCAGTCACAACATTCCCTTAAACCACAGCCTGATCCACAGCAAAGACCTAATTCTCTTCAGTCCTGTACAGGCTCCAAGCAGCACTGAAGCTGCAGAAGAGAAGCTGCAGCAGCAAAGGTTGGGTCAGGAGGCCTAAGGAGAAGTCTTCTCCATGACACACAAGTGCAAAGGGAAGCAGCAAGTGCTGTGGACAAGCTGCTCGAGTTATCAAAAGACCTCTAGCCAACATCACTGATAAAGGTGGCTACACTAAATAATTCTCAGTGCAGACAAAATGGCCTTGTATTGAAAGATGCCATCTAGGACTTTCATAGAGAAAGAGAAGCCAGTGGCAGCTTCAAGCTTCAAAGACAGGCTGACTCGCTTATTAGAGGCCGATGCAGCTGGTAACTTCAAATTGAAGCCAATGTTCATATACCATTCCATAAATCCTAAAAACCCTTAAGAATTACGCTAAATATACTTTGCCTGTGCTCATAAATTGAACAAAAAAAGCCTGGGTGATACCATGTCAGCTTACAGCATGGTTTGCCAGGTATTTTAAGTCCACGGTTGAGATGTACTGCCCAGAAAAAAAGACTCCTTTCAAAATATTACTTCTTATTAACCTGCATCTGGTCACCCAGGGACTCTGACGGAGAAGCACAAGGAGATGAACATTGTTTTCATGTCTGCTAATGAACCAGCCATTCTGTAGCCCATGGATCAAGAGTAATTTTGGGCTGGGCGCCTATAGCTCAACCGGCTAAGGCGCCAGCCACGTACACCTAAGGTGGCGGGTTCGAATCCCCAGCCCGGACCCGCCAAACAACAACGACGGCTGCAACCAAAAAATAGCCGGGTGTTGTGGCGGGCGCCTGTGGTCCCAGCTACTTGGGAGGCGGAGGCAGGAGACTCGCTTGAGCCCAGGAGTTGGAGGTTGCTGTGAGCTGTAATGCCACGGCACTCTACCCAGGGGGACAGCTTGAGGCTCTGTCTCAAAAAAAAAAAAAAAAAAAAAAGAGTAATTTTGACTTATGATTTAAGAACTACATTTCATAAAGCAAAAATTGCCACAGATAGTGATTCCTCTGATGGATCGGAGCAAAGTAAATTGACAACTTTCTGGGAAAGGATTCACCATTCTAAGTGCCTTTAAGAACATTCATAATTCGTGGGAGGAGATCAAAATATCAATATTTACAGGTGGTTAGAAGAAGGTGATTCCAACCCTCACGGACAACTGTGGGGCTCAAGACTTCAGTTGCGAGACTTGTTGCATATGTGGTAGAAACAGCAAGAAGGCTTGGAAGAGAAGTAGAACTTGAAGATGGGACTGAACCGCTACAGTCTCACCACAAAACTTTAATGGATAAGGAGTTACTTCCTACAGATGAGCAAAAACAGTGGTTTCTTGAGATGAAATCACTGGGGAATTGCCAACAAAGAATCGAAAATATTACACAAACACAGCAGCAGAGTTTGAGAGGACTGACTCCAATTTTCAAAGAAGTCCTGCCGTGGGCAAAACACTACCAAACAGCATCACATGTTACAGAGAAAGTGTTCATGGAAGGAAGAGCCCCTTGCGGCAAACTTGGATAATAAACTGTGGTCTTATTGAAGAAATTTCCACAGGCTCCCAAGCCTTCAGCAGTCACCACCCCATCAGTCAGCAGCCATCAACATCAAGGCAACCCTCCTCAGGTTATGGAAATGGTCTGGAACCCAAGTACAGTTATCTCCACAGTATGCCTGTATTTGTTAAGTATCTGACATAGCAGGCATTGTTCTGGAGACTTTAGAGTACTTACCTAAGCCTTTACAACAAGGTAGGTCCTCCTCCACTTTACAGATGGCCTTCAAGTTCAGAAACACAACCTTGTCTCAGAGTTAGAAAATCCTAAGCCGCTCTTAACTAATACGTTGTTATGTTTCCAGGC